CCTGAGGTCGAGAGTTCGAGACCAGCCTGACCAACATGGAGAAACCCTGTCTCTACTAAAAATACAAAATTAACTGGGTGTGGTGGCGCATGCCTGTAATTCCAGCTACACGGGAGGCTGAGGCAAGAGAATCACTTGAACCCAGAAGGCAGAGGCTGCAGTGAGCCAGATAGCGCCATTGCACTCCCGCCTAGGCAACAAAAGCGAGACTCCTATTGCCAAAAAAAAAAAAAGTGAAGACTAAAGGGTATATAGAAGGACAAGCAGGTGGAGAAGGAAACTCGGGGCCTAAACACAGATAAGGGGGAAAGAATAGACATGCAAGAAAGTGCTGGGGCTCTGAAAATGATAAACCAAAGACTGGTGCTTTGAAATGCTGAGAAGCCTTAGAAGCTGCTCCAGAATCAAGGTCCTACCACACTTGCTGGAATTTCCTTATCTGACTGAAAAAGCTTCTTTGCAAAAGAAATGGAGTTGTCTTAAGATCTCCTCCCTAGAGATCATATTAAATAACCAGATCAACAACCAGAGAGAAGGTATTCAGTGTCATCACCATACCCAAATAGACTTTTCCTCTCTTTCTTTTTTTTTGAGGCAGGGTCTTGATCTGTTGCCCAGAATGGAATGCAGTGGCATAGTCATGGCTCACTGCAGCCTCAGCCTCCCAGGAGCAAGTGATCCTCCCACCTTAGTCTCCTGAGTAGCTGGGACTGCAGGCATGTGCCACCATGCCTAGGTTTTGTTTTGTTTTTTGAGATGGAATCTTTCTCTGTTGCCCAGGCTGGAGTTCAGTGGCACTATTGTAACCTCCTCCCCCCAGGTTCAAGCAATTCTCCTGCCTCAGTTTCCCAAGTAGCTGGGGTTACAGGCTCCAACCACCAAGCCCAGTAATTTTTGTATTTCTGAGTAGAGAGGGGGTTTCATTATGTTGGCCATGGCAGGTCTCGAACTCCTAACTTCAGGTGGTCCACCCACCTTGGCCTCCTGAAGTGCTGGGATTATATACATGATCCATTGTGCCCAGCCACGCGGGACTAATTTTTTATCTTTTTTTTTTTTT